TTGCAGAATAGGTTTTAAGATTACGCAATTGGGAAGCTATTAATATTATACTAAACGACATTACAGTCCGAACAAAAAAAAAGAAAAAAACTGGAATTCTTACTCCATGACCGAAGGTGAGGACGAAGATGATGACCTTAACAACTGAAATTCTCACATTTATATTCTTCTCAAATCGGTTTTAAGGTTTAGTCTTCTCTTTTTCTCTGCCAGCCGAGAGATCTTCGTTTTTTTATCAATCGCCACAAGTTTTCAATACTCTGCGTCGTATGCAAAAACACAGAAAATGGTGTGTTTTGGCTTCCGTTAGTGATTTAACAGAAATAGAGTCTAGGGTTTAATTTGCACCAAATTAAGAACTTGGGTTTTAATTTGCACCACGTTTTTTGTTAGGTTTTTTAACATGAAAAAATATTCCTTTGTATTTGTTTTTGCAAAAGAATTCCATTTTTCTTTTAAGCAGTTTTCTAAAATCTAGGACCGACTCTGCAAACCATTAACCTAATTTGACTGTATGTATGATAACTAATTTTGGGTTTGTTTCTACAATTGTTTTCCTTATAATTCTTACTCAGGTTAATGAAATGAATGTCTTCTGTTGCAGTAGTAGAGGGCTGTTGTATCGTCCTTATAAGAAAGTACTTGCCGAGGAAAGAATCAAGTTTTCGATGTAATGCATCAAACTTTGCTTCGTAAGGAGACCAAGTTTAAAGTCCTCAAAGAATCTATAACCAACCTATCCGGCTGATTGTGACAGGCCAGTTTTATTTTCATGCCAACCAATGAAGTACTCGATTATAGTCCTTAATTAGTTGTTATATAATTCACTTTAGTGCAAGATTATGTGGAATTTATTACGTCAGGTTGGAGCACTGAGACAAGACATCATTTGGTGGTCCATGCGTAAAAATCCCACATCTTATATGAAACGATGTAAATTGGAAACCAACAAAACAAATCCCTTGAATACAAATTTAATTGTTTGGCATAAAGCATTATTGATTATCAGGACGTCCACTTGAGTTACACTACACACTCCTTTCTTTCCATTTATTTTTTGGTTATTCTATTTTTTGTTTTCTAATATATTATTTATATGCACCTCAATCATATCACATGATTCTAGCATATAAATTGAGGATTCGAGTTTAAGACATCTATTTGGTTGATATTTTGTCACTAATGGATAAGGGACTCTCTTGGTTAACGTTAAAAAAATAAGGAACTTAATTTAAAAAAAATGAAAAAGAAGACCGGGAATCGCTTTGTCACCTCAGTATGAAAACAAAACAAAAAATCAATGAAGCAATCTTGAGTGTACGAAAAGGTAGTAGTATTTTCTGAAGGGAAAAGTTCCAATACTTTTATTATATTAGGGGTGAAAGATATTATTGAATTATGAACTATAATCTTTAGGAAATGTGTGAGAAATCTTTCACATTGAAAGTTAGGAGAGACCTTTAGTAGTATAGAAGAAACTTCGGTTAATCCACTTTTTGTTAATTAATTTTGAATTCGAAATTCAAGAAACTTAAAGTCTTTAGTCGATTGAAAAAGAAATAACATTTTTATTTCATTAGTTTCGATGAATCCTTCTTTCCAAAGAAGGTGTTTGCAATAAGACACATTGTATAAGTAAAAAGTCCATATTGTCGTGCCTTCTTTCTATTGGTGGATGGCTCACAATTTTCTTGATTGGGAACTCAGATGCCTCTAAAAGGAGTATTCATTTGACCCCATACGAAATGATCAGAATGTTGCTTAGTTTGGATATGAAGTTGAACATAAGGATTTATATATCCTGTGAAGTGCTCCTAATCCCATTTTTGAAGAAAATGCATTAGGGAAGTCTAAACATCCATATCGTGGAGGATCCCTTTTTCTGCCTATATCATGGCAAACGTTACACATTTTCGAAGCACCTTTAACATTTTCTCTCATCAGAACACCAACATTTTAATTTGATTCTCAGATTTTTACATTTTCTTCTAGTGGTTTACGAGTTTTAAGAACTAATGGCTCGTCATTATCCCTTGTTTTGAATATTTGTATATAAAGAGAAAAATCGTGGAATATGTGAATCCTAAGACTCTTATCTATGAATATCAAGTATACTAGTGAAATAATTAATTAATAAAACCCAAAACAAAACTTCTTCAAAATAATTACAATATAAAGAGAATGCCATCTGTTATCATAATTTTAAGAGACAAAAACATAAATAGAACCAATAAAAAGCATATGCGTATCACAGATCTCTTAAAGAAAATAGAGAGAATATATAAATGATAACCAATCCATTCCAAATATCATAATAACTTTTAAATTTCAAAATTCTTCAATATTCAATTCACCATCTTCTCCAAAATAATATTTTCTTGAGAATCTAAGACTCGAGAGAAACTAACCATAAATCCAGTTACCCAAGCTAAATGCAACACATTGCTCTAAAATCATCTATTTCAGAATTAATGGGCTATGTTGAATGCTTGAATTTGATTGGATTTATGGGCGATTGATTTGAAAATTTTTTAACCTTTTTAATTGTATTTCGGTGGATTCCATAAAAAAAAATTTGAAAATCTAGGACTCGAGAGAAACTAACCATAAATCCAAGTTATCCAAGCTAGATGCAACACATTGCTCTAAAATCATCTATTTCAGAATTAATGAGCTATGTTGAATTCTTGAATTTGATTGGATTTATGGGCGATTGATTTGAAAGATTTTTAACCTTTTTAATTGTATTTTGGTGGATTCCATTATAAAAAAACAAGATTTGAAATTGCTTTTTCACAATTTTTATGTGAGATTCTGTTGAATTCCTTCCCAATGACAATAGTATGAAAGCTACCCTAAATTTTGAATAACACTATCATTATAGAATTATAAAATGAATGAACGGAAGGAATTCAAATTCAATGTAATTGAATAAAATGATTACAAATACTCAATCCAATAACATATGAATTTGAAAGGAATAAATGACATACATAACTGAATAACAATATAATTATTTGGAAACTCAATTCTAAAAATATTCTTGTATTTAATCTGTATCTTTGACCTAACGATTATAGTTTAATCTTAATACAATTGAAAAAGGAAGAGCAAATTTTTTTTTTTTTTGTCGACAAATAAGTTAGGATAGTTTTAAAGCAAGTACAGAAGAAAAATAAAAATAGAAATAAACCTGCATGTAGTGCGGGTTTTCTTTTAGTAAAAATCAAGATAGAATATATACAAAGGATATCATGGTCCAAACAGGTTTGTTTAATATTGCCAGTTTAACATTCTTTAACGCTTAAGCGTTGGGTGTCTAACTCTCTTGATAGTGAATTGTCCCCTCCATCGTTATCTCAACTTCATGAGAAAATTCTTAATGGGAATTTAAAGAAGATGACTTTGTCTCGTACATTGAAGTCTTGTAACATTATCTTCTTTTCATGCCAAGTCTTGTTCTGCTCGTTATATTATTTGGATTTTTCACATATAAGCCACTTTTTGAGTCTCATCAAACTCCTCGCGAGTCAATCTTCACGGAGGTAGTGATATCAAAATTTAGAATCTTGGTGGCCCATAACTCCTTGAACTCCGTAGTTGACATGATTTTTTCGTAGAGGAGGTCAGACAGAGTCGTTTCAATAGTTTTTTTTTTGGAAACAGTTATAGGTACCCATAATGCATCATCTAGCTTGTTAGACCAATCCTTACTGTTACCGTGTTTTCCAAAATTTATGATTTTCGGTTAGTGATCTCAACTTAGCCTCTAGTTTGAGGACAAGAAATTGCAACCTTGTTTTTAACTTCATTCTTCTTCAAAATATATTAAATCACATTATTTATGAAGTGGATTTCATCATCACTTATCACTATTTTTGGAATATCAAACCTCCAAAATATTATGGTCCCAAAGAATGTGAAGACCATATTTGCATCACATGTCAGTTTGCCATTGCTTCAACCCATTTAACGACGCATTCTACCACCAACAGAATGTATTAGACTCCACATGAGAAAGGGAAAGGGAAAGGTATCATGATGATATTAATACCTCATACCCCAAATATTTTAACTTCAAGGATGGGAGTTTGAGACATTATTCTTTTTGCCAATGTTCTCCTTCTTTACAAAACGACGCTTTTTATTGTCTCCAAGTAATTTACAAAATCAGCATACAAGACGTCTTCTCATCTACCTCATTAGTGGTGACTATGTGACATCATGAAGTGTTCAATTTTTATAAACTTCAATAACCTTGAGTTGTTCCTCACGTAAAGAATCGTATATCAGAATCTTTTTATTCTATTCCCAGTTGTGAGAGAAGATCCGAAATTTCATTCTCAGACACCTTCTTGTCCCTAATCTTGAGGTCGAATTCGTGAAATAGAAGAATTCATCAAATTAATTTTGGTTTGGCGTTTTCTTACATAAAAGAAAAAGGTATTTCAAAGCGACATTATCCGTATGCATATCCTAACAAAAACATGCTAGAATTTTGTTAAGCAAAGACAAACTCCACGAGTTCTTATTCCATTGTTGCATGTTTTACTTGAGTATTGTGTAGAGTTCTACTAACATAATAGATCACATAAAGCTTTTATCCTAAAATGTTTCTATTTAGACTCCTAATTTATCAAATAGACTTTTCATTGGGGGATATAAATGTACGCTTTGTTATCTTTGAAATTTTATAATACTACTTAATATGTTAAATACAGTTGTATCCATTTACGAGAATACATAATGAGAATAGATATATATATATATATATATTCAAATGTACTAAATATAAATCATTGCGTTTCGTCATAAATTTTTTGGCACCCTTTTAGGCGAAAATTTCCCATATCTATGCCCTTTCTGTTAGTTACTCATATCTTTGCATTTTAATATTCAAGAATCAAGAAGATACGTAGACGTATTATTGAGCCCAAAAAAAATAATGTTATATATCTTTTAAATTCAACTTTTGATGACTATAAGAAGGGCCATTTCCACTTTGTTTTGCCTGCCTCAAACAAGTAACTCTTCATCGTTCATTAAAAATCTCGTATAGAGAGAGAAAAAAAAATACTCTATCTATAATTATATGCATACATCAATAAAGACATAGTGTACGCATATCTCTTTAATCAAGATAGAAAATGAAAGGAGGAGAGAAGCAATGTGGGAAGGTGGACAAATTGAAGCCAATTCTGGCGATCATATCACTCCAATTCGGATATGCAGGCATGTATATCATTACTATGGTTTCCTTCAAGCATGGTATGAACCATTGGATCCTTGCTACCTACCGACATGTTGTAGCCACCATTGTCATGGCTCCTTTTGCTCTCATTCTCGAGAGGTATGTATTGCATGATCAGTCTTGAAATATGTGAAGATATATATGAAAGTAATGTACGGACTTTCAATATATATATATGGGTATAAAATATAATGAAACTAGCAGAAGTCTATTCAGAAAATAACTGTTCTTGTTATTTTGCTCCCTGCAAAATCTATCATCAAAGTTTCATTAAAAAGTTTTTAACCTTGTTTCTTTTAATCGATAACTTGGCCAAACCTTGTATGCATTGTTTGGATATATGATTTTGAGCAATTAAAGATATATAGTTTATGATTTAATATATGTAGTATTTGCGCTTTTTCAGGAAAATAAGGCCTAAGATGACATGGCCACTGTTCCTTAGGATTCTTGCTCTCGGAATCCTTGAGTAAGCTCCGTATACATGTACCCTTTTCCTTTATTCACGTGTATCTATAAAAATAATAATAATAGACGCAGAGAAAGTCCTTTATTCACGTGTATATATAATGATAATAATATATGCAGAGAAATATACTATATATTCACATGATAAACTCATCTCTAACTATACATTATTGCTGTGTTTCTCGTTTGTAAAAAGAAACGATCTTGCTTGGCATTCCAAAAAACAAAAACTAATTATTCCTCTCACGATTAAAAAAAACTATATATATGAAACTGATTCAAATATATTAAACTTTATATATGAAGCTTGTAATTTTCTATGGTTTGTTCACGTGGATAAATGACTCGTCATATATGAATCATGGTTATGGACCGAGAGTTACACTTACACCGTTTACCAAAATTGTTGTGGTTCCTCGTTCCTTTTATTATTAGTTAATTAAGAATAAAAATGAAGTTAGTTAATAATAAAATATGATAAACAATATGGAAAGTTGATTTAATTTAACTATTTCATAAATATTATTTATACGCAAGTGTGCATTTTTGCGTTTTACTATCCGTTGGTAGAAATTTTAAATAGGTAAAATATTAGCAAAATTACAGTTAAAAAGTAATGTCGCTTTACCAATCGAAACTTTAGATTACTATAGACGTCTTTTAAAATTTCGAGGATTATGGAAAACAAAGTGAATATTTACTTCATACACAGTATGAAAACCATAGTAGTTTGTCGAATCTACACGAAAATATTTTTGTGGATGAGATCATCATCCATTGCCGTTTCTCATAGCTATGCGTTTTACTCCATCTTTTAAGAGAATGGTATATCAATCTGATGATAATGATGCAAAATAAAAGCATATGATCAATACATACACTAATATAAATTGACAAGTTGTGAAATGTTGGTTGTCTACTCAGACCGCTTATGGACCAGAACTTCTACTACATAGGAATGAAAGCCACGTCAGCAACGTACAGTTCTGCCTTTGTTAATGCACTTCCCGCCGTCACCTTCATAATGGCCGTCATTTTCAGGTGATTTTTTTCTAATTTACCAAAAGGTCCAAAGCCAATCATCTAATCATTTTCTAGTTTTATTTCTCATTTTTTTACTTCGACTCTAACGATGGGTGTGATTGGTAAACACTTATCAAGATATACCTCTAATATGGTTACCACCCAAAAAAAAAAAAAAAATCTGTTTCTTATTGAACAAACCGTTTAAAATCCATTCAACTATAGCACTATCAACAATTAGTTAAAAAATTTAGATCATCCAAAATTAAAAACGTCCAAAATTTGCCTAAAATTTCTGACAAACTTTAAATTAAACAAAAAATAGGGAAAATTTCGAACGGAAAAACTTGTAAAAATTAGCGGTATAATACTACTAATCTATTTGTGCAACGTTATCTCTTACCACTCTCCTCTTTTAGCTACTTCTCGATCGCTTACTGTTTTGTATCACCAACTGGTTCGGATATTTACTAAAAAACGTAGAAAATGTTATTTTCGCAGTTATATTATTATTGATTATAAATTACTTAATATAAATCAGGTTAGAAACTGTAAAGTTGACAAAGATACGTAGTCTTGCAAAGGTGATTGGAACAGCTATAACCGTGGGAGGAGCTATGGTGATGACTTTGTACAAAGGTCCAGCCATAGAGCTCGTCAAGGCGGCTCATACATCTTTTCACGGTGGCTCCTCCTCCGAGACCACTGACCAGCACTGGGTTACCGGAACCTTGGCGATTATGGGTAGTATCATTAGTTGGGCTGGTTTCTTCATCTTACAAGTAATCAAACGCTATATACTTTTATTAAGATCCAACTTTGTTATTTGTGTTTACATTTACGTATACGTTTTCATATCATGATATTCTAATCACTATAATATATAGAAACGCAAATGTATATTCGAAAACATTGTCGTATATAATTAGAAATACAGATAATGTACACTAAATTATCAAAGACTAAAGACTTTTTTTTTTCTATTGGTTGAAGCTACGGATTAAGTCACATTTATTGGGTTCCATTTTTACCTCAGAGTGAAAAAAAATCTCTAAATCTCGGAAGTAGTCTAGGCTTTCCGGATTGATTTGCTATTAACAAAAACATGACTATTACACTTTAAAGATTACATAAATAATAATAATAATAAATTTATAAATGTGTCAGTCTTTCACGTTGAAAATATATCCGGCGGAGCTTTCACTTGTGATGTGGATTTGCGGCATGGGGACGATCTTAAACACTGCAGCTTCGCTCGTGATGGTGCGTGACTTGAGCGCCTGGAAAATCGGTATGGATTCTGGTACACTCGCGGCTGTTTACTCTGTAAGTTTTTCACCATTTACTAGTTAAATAAAACAATCTAATTATAATCACGTAAGTAATGTTGCTATTAAGTTTATTTGAATGATTAATATCAGGGAGTGGTTTGTTCCGGGATGGCGTATTACATACAAAGCATTGTGATTAGGGAACGAGGCCCAGTGTTTACAACGTCGTTTAGTCCTATGTGCATGATCATTACTGCATTCCTCGGTGCGTTAGTTTTGGCTGAAAAGATCCATCTCGGAAGGTGAACAATTTTATTCACAATTTTCCTTAATATACATATTTTTTTTGTCTTAACAGTACGAGTACAAAACAACTAGGTTACAGAATCAGAATTGGCTCTGAGATTTAAAAGGTTACAAGCTAAAAATAAAATTAGACCATTTTACCATTTGAAGTTTCAAACTCTTGATCTTAAGAATATTGTCACAAGACCAAAATTATATTTTAAAGTCTGGGGGGTCAAAATTATTCTATAATAATGACGAGCGCATGCATGGGTTTGCTTAACTCAGACTCAGGGCCGAGCTTGTACATAATTTATATGTAAATCAATTGTTCTCTAATTTTTTAAATGCAGTATAATTGGGGCGGTTCTCATCGTCTTTGGACTATACAGCGTCGTATGGGGAAAAGCTGAGGAAGAAGTTCTTTCGGTGGAGAAGAAAATCGGATTGCAGGAGCTGCCGATCACCAACATATCGAAAACAATGGAGGGTGGTGGTACTGCTAGTGCACCAGAAAAGGTATAGATTAATACCTGAGTGCATGCCCTAACTAAGCAATCAAAGAAAAAACAAAAGCCACTGCTCTCAGTTTTTGAAGGCCAGATTTTCCAAGACGGGAAATTGTATATCTTTCTTTTTTGTTATTTACGTTTCCAGTTGTTGGTGTTGCATATTAGATTATAGTATATATCATATAGTATCTAAATATTACTACGTTGTACCTTTTTGTATCTGTGGAATATCATGGGAAATGAAGAAATCTTAGTTGAATTTATGAAACACTAGTAGCTTCATTCGAAGTGAATGTCAATCGGTAGACGCCAAATATGAACTCATTGTTGACATAGTGAAAAGAACGAAAATAACTGAAACTTTTATAAAGATAACGATTTGAGGCAAATACACGTTTATGGTTTTTTTTTCTTTTCATTAACGTATAAATAATATTCACAAATCCTTAAAACCCAAATGTATCTAATATATTAAAACAGAAGTACTTTTAGTACTTGCTTCCAAACATTTCTAAAGTTTTTTTTTTATAGATAAAAAGTGTTTAGAAAAAGTTTTAAAATTATCCTAATTTATTGCTATTCTAATTTATTACAATATTATTTGAAAAAACACATTTTCTTTTATATATAAATGTTATTTCTAAAATTAGATATTAATTTAGATAACTAATGATTTCCTTAAATATAGATTATATTTAATTTAAAATTCAAACTATTTTTTTGTAATTAAATTGAATTCTGAAAAATATATATTATTAATTTAAATTACTTTAGACTTCCTTAAATATAGGTTTCTTAAATATATGTTAAATTTAATTTAACTTTTAAAATTTAAATAATATTTTCAAAATAACACATATGATTAACGAATACCTTATTGTACTTTTTTAATCATATTTAATCAGACTAAAATTTCACATATTGAAACTGATAAATATTAATATTATATGGTGATATGATAGGACGAGTTAGGTTTTTATATAATTGTGATCTTATGCGAAAAATGCAAAATATTTAAATAAAAATTATTTCAAAATTAGTAATATTTATATTATATAGTTATGTAAACAGACGGGTTAAAATTATGGTGTTATAATTAGAATTTTTTCGGATTAATAGAACAGTGAGTTAAAAATATGTTTTTATAATAACGGTCATTTTTTGATTAATAGAATGACCAGATTATAATTATGGTTTTATGATCGTGGTCATAATAGTAAAAAAAATCTAAAAAATATTATATCTAAACACAAAAATAAATCTTTGTCACTTATTAGAAAAATTAAATCTATTAAAAAATATAAATTACACTACAAATTTTGATTAAAAAATATTTTCGTGTAGATGCACGGCAGATTCTCCGCCTCCGTCTCCGGTGAGAAATCACGTGGAAACTCTAGTTCTCAGTGATCAGCAGAGGGTTATCGATCAGGAAGGTTCAACCATGGTTTCAGAAATTTCAACATCTTCATCTCCGCTGGTTACTCAGCCTAGGCCTGGGCATAAAAACCGGACCCAAAAAAACAAACCGGAACAGACCCAAAATAAACGGTTCGGATCGGGATTCGAATCAGGCCATTTTATGCGATGGATAAATTTTTTCAGAACCGTGGATATCGGTTTGGTTCCGGGTAAGAACCAAAAACCGATCGGATATTCGGATAATCTGAAATTCAAATTCTCTATATTATATAATCTATAATTCTATATACTTAATACATGTCTTATATAGTACTAGGAGAGAATCCGTGCTACGCACGAGCCTTAAATTATTTTGTTTTATAAGTGAATATGTTTTAGATTTTTAGTGAAACTATCATTTTTTTTTTCATTTTTTGTATAAATGTTTTTTGTATGATAACTCTAGTAATCTCTTCTATTCATTTTTTTTTAAGTTCCATCATCCAAATTTCGAGTTCCTTGATCTAAATTTTGATCCAAAGATAATTTTTAACTTTCTCAATATATATTTTTCATTTTTTATAATTTTAGTAAGCTCTTTCATCTGTTATCTTTTTGACTTTTTTTTAGCAAAAACTTGACTAACAATAATTTTAACTTTCTCAATTTATCATTTTCATGTTTTTTATTACATATATATAATTCAATCCATCTTTACAACTAATACCTTCAAAATTATTGCCATATATATTCTTTTTTTTTCTCTCTATTTTTGATATCTTGATATTTACTCGATTTTTTATTGATTTTTTTATATTACAGTTTTATTGTTCTTATTGGTTATTCTTAGTTACTTGTTTTTTTAAAACATATTGTTTTTAGTTTTAGCCTTATAACTTACTTTTTACTATTTGCTTTTTTTATTATGATATTAGTAATCTCTTTCATCTATGTTTTCAAATTTTCTTCATTGAAATTCTCAGATAATAATTATTTTGAACTTTCTAAATTTATTATTTTTATATTTTGTTATTACACATATTTTTATTGAATCCATATTTCTAATTAGTACCTTTAAATTTTGTATATTTATTTGTTGCTAATTTTTGTTTTCCTCTCTCTAATTTGATATCCTCTTATCTTTTCGAATATTTATTGATTTTTTTTGTTTTGTGTGTTGTAGTTTTTTGGCTCTTGTTTTTTTTCTTAAGTTGCTTGAAATTTTTTTTTAATTTTGTTATAATTTGTTGGTCTTAAAACTCGTTTTTTACTTTATTTTTGTTGATTTAGTTATCTTTACAGTTCAAGATGACGATTAAATCATACAGAAAAAGTCAATCGCTACACTTTAACAAATTTGAGTTTTATTTCTTATAATTTTATGATTTAATATTTTTAGTTTAACATAATTAAATAAATTAAATAGATTAATTATATTTATGTTGTTTAATAGTTTTTTTAAGATTTATTTTTCTTATTTGTAATTCTTCAGTTGTTTGTTTTTTTTAAACATATTTTTTTCCAGTTTTAGCTTCATAGCTTACTTTTTACTATTAATTTTTTTTCTGATATTAGTAACCTCTTTCATCCATTTTTTTAAAGTTTTTTCATTTAAACATCAGATAACGATAATTTTGAAGTTTCTCAATTTATCATTTTTATATTCTGTTATTCTATATATTTCATTGAATCTATATTTCTCAACAGTTCCTTTAAAATTTTGTATATTTATTTTTTACTATATTATTTCTTTTCTTAAAATTATTTTCTCTCTAAATGAGATTCTTTTTTCTTTTAGATTATGTATCATTAATTTTTGTGTGTTGTGGTTTTATAGTTCTTGTTTATTGTTCTTCAGTTTCTTGAAAATATTTTTAACTATTGCTTTTATTTTTGGTCTCAAAACTTTTTTTTTTAATTGATTGAATTTCATTGTTAGTTCAAAGATGATGATTAAATCACAAGAAAAATAAAATGAAAAGACAGTCACTATACTTTAATAAATTTGAATTTAATTTCTTCTAAATTTATGCTCTAATTTTTTTGAATTTAATATAGTTAAATAGAAATTAATTTATATCTGTTTATGTTGTTTAATGGATTTTCTTTAAATTTAATTATTTTTCTAATAAATGCTGATGTGCAAAAAAAAAAAAAAATAGACCAATAAAGAGGAGCTGATGTGTCAACCTCTGGAGAGTCTCCTTCATCTATTATATATTAGATATACTTATATAGTATATAGTTAATAACCTTAGGTTATATTTCTTCGATTTAGGGTTTGTTATTTGTCGATTCCACTCCCTCAATTTCTTCTTCTCTTTTATAATTTCTAAATCCCCAGATACAAAACTAGATTCCACTAACAAGAACATCTGCTCCGAGTCTAACTACGTTTTGCCATCACCGTCATCAGCGTCGTCGAGAATTAGGTCAGAGGTATGTCGATTTGTCGATTGTCGATAGTCGAAACTTTTTTCAACAGTTCTGGTTTTTTTTTCTTTTCATCAATCCGATAATTTCAATTTTTGCATATGTTCAATTCTTTTCATCTATTTCTCTATTTCATCAATGTAGTGTGATAGTGTTTTTGGTTCTCTGTTTCATTTATATATTATAAGCTTTCATTTTGCTTATGTTCGCAGTGGCTTCTTGCGAACAAAGAGATCCAATGGATGAAGACGATGATGCACTTGAAACAGAAGAAGATGTTGAAACACCTGAAACTGGAAATAAAGGCAAGAGGAAAGAAAAGAAAGATGATAGTGGTTCTGCTTGTAAAAGGAAGAAGACAAGATCAATCCAAGGTTTAGGAGCACTACACCAGACACAAGAAGAATTATGACAAATGCAACTGTAATTATTGTGGTAAGGAATTCGCATGTTCAACCAAGTCAGGCACATCCAACCTTACGAAGCACATCAATTTTGGATGTAAGGCGTATCAAGCTTGGATTTCTGCTAACAAAGATAGTAAAACCGTGATAACTCCTACTGGTGATGATGGAGTTATGGGTTTCGGAAAGGTTTCAGAACTTGTATTCAGAGAAGCTATGAATGAGATGCTGGTGTTAGCTGAGTTGCCTTTATCTTTTGTAGACAGCTTAGGAAGGATTTCACCACAAAGACTAAACTCTACACTCCTCACTCTCGGAGAACAGCCACAAGAGACATTGTGGAAATATATGTTTCAAGAAAAGCTATGAAGAGGATACTTGGTCAGAACAAGCAGAGGTTTTCATTGACAACGGACATATGGACAGCTCCTACTACTTCAGCCAGTTATATGGTCATAACAGCTCACTTTATCGATACTTCTTGGCGGCTAAGGAAGATGATATTAAGTTTCAAGAATATTGATGATCACAAATGTGCAATTCGGATTTCTCTCACACTTTTATATTAAGTTTCAAGAATTTTGCCTTTTTTTTTGATTGTTGATGATGCAAAATGCCATTAATTCTTCTGTTCAGGACTTCAAGTGTTGAGTTAGCTTTTGATTTGTGAAGTTATTGAATTGTGATGCAGGTGCAACGATTTCTAAGGTTTTAATTCAGTGTTTGGAAGAGTGGGACATCAAGAGGGTATTCTGCATTACCGTAGATAATGCTACAGCAAACAGTTCAGCTATGAGGAGATTCAAAGCAGAGTTTAAGAAACTTGGAGATGATGCAATGGTTCTCAACAGAGACTATCTTCACTTAAGGTGTGCTACACACATATTGAACTTGATCGTGAAGGAGGGCTTGCAAGAGGTAGATAACAATGATGTTGCTATTCGTAATGCTATTCATTATGTGAGGTCATCTACAAACAGATTGAAGGCGTTCGAGTTTCAAGTTGAAACCGGGAAGATGACTAGAGGAA